CCAGCTCGGTTCAGCAGATATTCAATTTTATCCATGCAAACACTAGCATGTGATATACAATTAATATTTATATGTTTTTATTATATATATGTTGTGTGGTAGTGTAGGTGTTGTGTTCGTACAAGAATCACTTGTGATTCCTATAGTTGTTTTTATGACACACCGATATTGATTTTACACCGCCGCTTGCACCCTATGTCGTTTGGATTTACTATTGTTATGATCTTACATTGAAGCAAGTGGTGACTGAACAAGATGAATTATATATAGGTGATGGCTAGTCTGTCAATACCGTATATATTTCTCTCTCTCCTAAAAGTAGCACATAGTATTAAAAGTTTAAAACTATCAATATGCTAAAGATGAATTAATTTTCAATTTTGATTTTTCACATCTCTTCCTTATTATTTCTCTTTCTTTCTTTCTTTCATTCTTTCTTTTTCTTTTCTTTTCGTTTCATCTTTACACTTATTTCACTCCTCTTCATGGGAGAAAACAAAGAGACATTTCTGTTAATTTTTAAGGAAAATATGCCACTTCGTGTAGGACAAATAAAATTTAGGCACGTACGTGTATATAGATGATAATTTTTTTCTTAATTGATAATCATCCGTTTATATATTATTATTCCTCTATTTACTTTTCCTACCGTGTATACCACAATAATAATAATGCTCAAATGAAATAATTTACAGTAATTTTATAAATGACATGGACGAATGCCGACTTAAAGAGTGTCGGTCGAGTTAAATTTTAAAAATGAAAATTTTAAGTCATGAAATAATACTCTCAATATTAAATATTAGAAAAGTTAAGAGCCTTAATTTATTAGAATAAATATAACCATTATGAGTATAAATATATATATATATATATATATATATATATATTATCATTGCATATAATTATATATATACTAAAAAATATATCAAACAAATGCTCTGTATAAGCCTTATGATTAAATCACTTTCGATATTCTATCTAAATTTTAAATATATGATTGTTTATACAAAGGAGTAACATATAAATCTTCAACTGTTATTTCTAATTAGTTTGTGAAACCAAAAGTTGAAAAAAAAAATTATATAACCAAACAACAAAAAGTATAGATAAAGTCTAATTTAAGAAAAACTCGCGACCATTTAATTTACATGTACAAAATCAATGAGAATATATACTTTTTTTTATTTTTAAAATTTAGGGTTGCGGTTGTAGTGCAATATATTGTAAATAAATAAATCATTTGCATAAAACTTTTCACAACACTTTTTAATGTATTATATATATATTGTAATCTTTATGATTTCAATGATACACACATATATATATATATATATATATATATATATATATATATATATTTTATTTCTTCCCATCACATTAGTCTTATCATTTCACACTTGTCTCTTTTCTTATTTCTCTTTATTGTACAATAATATATTTTGTACAAACGTCGTTTAGACCAAGTGCATGTGTGCATTCTAGCTATCACACAAATTCACGTATATATGGACAAGAGAAATTAAATCTCTTGGAAACCATATTCGTTATATAGCATATTGGAATCCTGTATGAGGTTGACCAGTTCATGACATGTGCATTATGTTTGGTGGTGGCAATGGACTTATCTAAATTTCCATGCACTCACTCCACGACGATCACTAGTGAGTTATAAGGGCAGTGGCAGAAAGTCTACGAGACAAAATCTTCAATTTGTTGGTGTTTGTTTCAATGAGATTCAGAGATTGAAAAGCAAGTATCTGACTCTGAGGTGCAAAGTCAACGTGTCCCGTACCATCCCTTCACTTGGTCTTTTGACTTGTCAGAAGTGAGACCCTCTTGGAAGTATTAGGCTGGATTCAGATATAGCCATTCTTTGTAGGGTCTCTCTAAAGTTAAATCGGAATCGTGTCCAAGTTTTGTGGCTTATGCTTAGTTATCATTGATGTTGAGAGTTATTACGTTCTAAATTAGGTTGCTATCTATATCTCAATTTAATTAAACACATTAGGGCATGTATGTTGCTGAAAATATATATTTCGACTACATGTATTATCAACTTTAGTTTTCAAATATGATAATTGAAAATGAGATTTCCTGTTAAATAGATTGTGGATACAACTTGTAACTGTAAGATGTCTAATTACTATATGTCAACCAATAGGTTGTAGATCTATTCTTCTGGAGTCACTCTACTTTGAAAATCTAAAAGTAATGTCTTCGTTATTATTCTAATCATGATTAGTTTTCTATTTTAATTTCAATAAATATTTTTAATGTATTTTTCAAATGCAATTATTTAGAGAGAGATAATTGATTTTTTTTTAATTTAATAATTGAATATATTTAAGACTAACGATATTATTATTAATCACATATTTAAAAATTGTGATTTCTTATTTTAAAGAGAAAAATACTATGCATTATATAAAATAATTTTATACGATGATTTAATCCCAAACAACTCTAAATAGTGAAATCGTTGATTACATGGATAACTTTTTATTAGTCGATAATTTAAAAGTTTTATATTGACGCGGTGCGTGACCATTAGTTAAACCAATTTATTATTATTAGATAGTTAGTCATGATATTTTCACCGTGACTTAGTCTTGCTTACTCAAAACTTATAACTTGTTAAAAAAATTCATACACCTTTGTCTAATATTTTAAAAAAAGAATTACTAAAAAGTAATGTTAAATGAATATTGTGTTGATGAGTGTAACTTAAACTTAATTATATAAATGTAAATATATTCATATAGAAATTTAAAAAAAAAATTATTAAAAGTGATATGACCATATTGTGGGCATATCATTAAAGAATGACCTACAAGCTGAATAGGGACAAGTACGGAGATTTGATCCATATGTCCATCCTTCTCCTTAAAGAGCAACCGAGTTAGTCCTCCACAACGTACTACACAGTCTCCAATCATGTTTTAACTCCAAAAATATGGCAAAGGAAAAGGAGGATAACATCAACACTTTCAACCTTATAGGAGTTTAGGGTAAGGGTATAAACAAATTATTACAATCGAATCATTTTCAAATATTATTAAAGTGAAGCTAATATTTTATCAAGTTAATACTAAAACTGTCGAGTTAAATAGTGATTTTTAAGGCTGTCAAAATAATAATAATAATAATAATAATTTATTATATATATAAAAGTGATAACTTGATTTGATGTATGTATTATTAGACAATTTTATCCTTAAATTTTTAAATATTAAAAAAAGTTACTCTTACTAATACAAGATTTTAAAATTTACAAACTAAGTACAACAATAATTCAACTAATAAATATTAATAATTCTTAAATATTTATTAAATAAAATATAAAAATATAAAGTGTCTCAACCTCAATAATAATAATAATAATAACTTATAATAATAATAATAATAACTTTAATGTCAAGTGCTAATATATTTTCGTTTTTAAAACTAATTGACTTGCAAGCCACATAACGTGCCATATGGAATATAGGAAAAGATAAAATTAAAAAAAAAATGTTGTTGCCAATTCACATTGCAACTTTTTCAAAAGTTAAAAAAATAAATGATAAAATAAATATTTAAATATTAAATTATTATTATTATTGTTGTACTAATCTTATTGGCATTATTCCGAGCTGAATTGATATCAACTCATGATTTAATCTCGGACATTAAGTTTATATGATGACCCAGCTTATTTTATCACATTCACGTACAATAATAATAACCGAATTGATATTATTACATCGAAGTAGATCTCGGTGGTTAACTCAACCGCGATCTTGTAAGAGGTAACCATAAAAAACAGTTATATTAAAAAAGGAAACGAACGATAACGGGTGGTCCCTTCCACAGGTAAATACAAGTCATTTTTAGATGTAAAGGGAAGATTCTTTTTTGACTGACTTGATCGTTGGAGTTCTTTTTGCAAGTACCTTTGTTGCCCTTGGACAACGAGGACTTCAATCCAACTTTGAAGACCGACGTCAATTGACAATCTCATTGTCTAACCTTATTATGGTAAGAACATTTGACGCTAGAAGGAAGTCTTGAACATGGTTACCAGCCACAAGCTCTTCCTTCAACAATCTTATGGTTTCAACCTGAAGTCAAGCTCGAGACACAACTGGAGCAATATGTCAAAACGTGTTAAACATGGAAGATGGCGCAACTCTACGACGACTATTAGAACAAGTGGAACTTATGTAACAACAAAATGTTACAGCCATGGAGGCCATGCACAAGCAACATGTAGTCGATCTCCAATAGTTGCATGCAAAAAATGATGCTCTCAAAGCCCAATGGCAGCAGAATCAACCACCACCACCTACAAATCAGACTAGTCATGTTCGCCTATCTGAAGAAGGGCATAATTCTTCTTCAGATCCTACCTACCACTCTGAGCGCGTTCGGACCTATCAATGTGAACACGTGCATGTCCATAGGCAATCTCACCATATACTGGATCATAGTGTTGTCTGTCGACACCTCTTTGTAAATGGCATCATGGAAGTTCCCCTCCCACTTGGTTGGAAAGCATTGAATATTGAAAGATACGATGGCACCTCAGATCCAGATGAGCATATTGATGCATATGCCACCCAAGTTAATCTTTACACTAATGATGATGCAATCATGTGTCATGTTTTCCCCATTTCATTAAAAGGGTCAGGCTATTATGAGTTGGTACACCCAATTACCACCCAGATCAATTGATAATTTTGACACATTGGTCCATCTCTTCTCGACTCAATATGTTACAAGTAGACCTCATCACATCACCTCGGCCGCACTTTCTAATTTACGACAACAAGATAATGAATCTTTATCACATTTTATGGAACACTTTGCCAACGTTTCTATAAAAATCTGTAATCTCAATCCTGAAGTCTCTTTCCCGCCAACGTTTCTATAAAAATCTGTAATCTCAATCCTGAAGTCTCTTTCCCTTTTATGGATAGCCTTTGCCGATGACAACTGGTGAGCATGGATGAACTCAGAGTGTGTGCTACTGGATATATCCAAATAGAAGAACATGCCGAGTTTAGAAACCAAGTTCGAGATAACATTTCCACCAAGGGAGAGTTAGGTGGAAAGGACAAGTCAAAATCACATCCTGATCAAAGATTGAAAAGACCTTGTTAGGCACGAGGTTCGAAGTGTGATTTTTATACCCCTTTGAATACGCACCATGTAAACATTCTAGAAGAAGCTAACCATGCAGATCTGATATCTATGCCTCCACCGGCACATAATTCGACCAATGTCGACAAGATCAAGCATTATCGTTACCATAGAAATTATGGTCATACGACAGAAGAATGTTAGACTCTTAAAGACAGAATCAAAGAATTAATTCATGCGGGACAACTCGGATAATATATCCAGCGC